ATATGCGTTATCCGGTTTTTGAAACGAAAGTTTTCAAATGCATTTCGTGATAATCTGATTTCTGCATTCCCATATATATTTTGTTTATATTTGACTCATAAAAATCAGTGTACTCTCCGAGTGCAATCGTCATGAAAAAGGTTTTCAACTTTTTTGCTTTCATAGATAATTAACAGTTTTTTGCTTCTAAAAAATACTTTGGAGTCTGGAGATCACAAATTTATATCAAACAAACAAAAAAAAGGCGTATGCGAGTAATTGGTTTAGAGAAAATTTATACCAGAACTAAAGTAAACGAAAGGTATTTTTTAATTTTTTTATTTTTTGAAATGCATGGCTGCAAACAAAGCTTTGACGTATGGACGGATCCTTAACTACTAGTCTACGTTCATACTTCGTTTTAATAAGAATTTTAGCGACACGAATTGCCTACGGAACACGGTGCATTAATTTATTATATATAAGGGATTAGCACCACCCTACACTTATAACGGTTCGAAAATAAGGCTTTTAATCCGAATAATTTCCATAGCGTTCTTCCTTGGATCGAATTATACTTTTGTACCAATTTTCATCAAAATATCTCAAAGATTGCGACTTGCATGTTGAACGCAAGAATGCAAGACGGGCAGACAACTTTAGAATCACTTTCTGAATAGATCGATATAATAAAAGATGGGTCTATCTCAAGCCTTTCTGTGTGTTGCAGGTATACGCACACACTTAATATACCCCTCTTCCACAAGTGGTGCAAGATATGAAAGAATATATGCGCCTTTCGAACTTACTGCAAACTTTTTTTTTTTTAGATTAGTAAACTTTCATTAGTAACTTAAAGTTTGATGTCATCCGCCTTATGAGTTTATAAACTAAAACGTCTTTTGGAATTGTTGGAAATTGTTGCTGTAGATGAATTTTGAAAATGAAAGAATTTTTTAATTGAAGAAGTTACACTGAATTATGTCTAAAACTCTTGAGCCAACCCAGTGAAAATGTTAAAAAATTGATAAGTCGCAACTGATGCAAAGATTGACGTGCCATTGGTCCAAGAACGAACTCAATTGAAAATGATTTGTCTCGTGCCACTTTTCCGATCACTTCCCATATAACGACTTACTTTGAACATTGTAAGGTGGTGCGGGGCCATGGTCCACTATAGTTTTTGAAAAAAACATTTGTCTTATTTATGCATGTATGCATGTATGCACATGCCAATGTTCGTACTCTTTTTTTACACGGTCTTTTTTACACCGTCTCTTTTTACACTATTTTGAAATCACACCGTTCACCAATGAGGGCAAATACACTCTTTTTACACGAATTTTTTATTCTAGCGCGATTTATGCCCATACATATGTTAGTTGGAGCTGGGAAATTGATTTTCATTCCTAGTTTGAATTAAAAACAACTCTGGACCCAGTACATTAACTTTAATTCATTTTTGTAAGAAATATGATTTTTATTTTTGCTTTATCCATATGTATTATAATATGGATTTTATTATTTTTTTTGCACGGTTTTCTGGGAAAATATTTGGAGTTCTTTCATCTAACATGATTTTTAAATGTTGTGGATCATATCCTCAAAGTTGACCATAAGTTATATATTGGGTTGGAAACTATGCAATTCAATGAAATAAAAGATTTCTTTTTTCACTTGGAATGAAGTTTAATCTATAATGTAGTTTTCATTTTGTTCGATTCCACGGTCTTAGGAAGTCTGATCCTTTTCGGAAAAAAACTGAATTAAGTGAAATTCTAGAGCGTCATCATCATTGAAAGTTTTACTATGAAGGGATGGCGCGAATTCATGGCTTTATGGTGGGTGTAACATCAATTCTCAACCAATGTCCATCAATTTTTGCCAAAAGTGGCCAAAGACGTGTGCGGCCGAGCATGGTCCTGGTGAAAAATGACACATTTACGATTGACCTCCGAATTAATGGTTTGGTTCCGTGAAAGCAGGTTAAAATACACCGGACCTTTCGAAACCCACGAAACTGACAGCAAAATCTTCTCTTGTTGGATATGTGCCTTTGACGTGGTTTGCGATGACTCATTTGGCATGCACCACATTGTTGTTGTACGCATTCCACTTTTCGCCTCCAGCGATGCGTCGTTTTCAAAAACGGATCGAATTCATCGTGTTTAAGCAATAATTCAAAAGCGCTGATGTGCTTTGTCAGATGAATTTCTTTGAAATCGTGCGGATCCCAAATATCCAACTTCTTAACGAGACCGACACATCTTAAATGCTTCTCAGTGGCTGTATGTGAAATATTTAACTTCTCTGTAATCTCCCGTAACGATCCGCTTCGATAATGCTTTTGATTTCAACCTCATTAAGACCAACTGGTCGAACTGAGCATTGGTCATCTTTAAGAGAAAAATCTGAAATCGGCAATTACTTAGTTGCCAACCCAATATATATGTTTGCATGATTCTTTTTTTTGTGAAGAAAGCATCTATAATATAAGTAAAGGGTTTTGTGGATATATGAATGCAAGTCACAGCAATGATTGAATATCTCGGCATACGTCGTATGCAATGCCGCTAATCGAGAGATATATAAAAAATGTCTCGTTTCCAAGAAGTTTGCGATTTCGATATAGTTCTGCAAGGGATATAAAAAGTTGATTAAGCCCAGCGTTCTTAACACACTCTTATAGGACTAAAGGGCTGAGATGCGATCCGTTGGAATCTTCCCCTTTACCCTTTGTTAAGAGTCCTGGGACTCAATAAGCTTTTATTTCTTTTTACTTTTTTCTCATCAGAAGCACAAAGAAAAAACTATTTCGTGTTTTGTTTTGTTTTACTTTTCCATCTAAATAAATTACTTATTAAAAACTTTATTTGTATGTTTTTCCTTTACTTGTCGACTTTAATTTCCTTTTACGTCGATAATATCGAGCAGGGCTCTTGCATAATCTCCTGTATTTTGGCTTCGGGTATTTCAACATGATTTGCGAGCAATGTATGAACAATACCACTTAACTTATTGCCACTTGAACGAGCTTGTAAAATGAACTCAATGCCATTCTCTTGTATGACGGTATCAGTGCCTCCATCGACAAATTCGGCCTTTATATCAAAAAAGGAACAGACACAATTACGATAATTAATTAATAATCTTTTTATGTTTTACCGTTTCTTGACGTAAGACATCGTTTATATATAAGTTCAAAGTATCCAACTCGAGCATTATACGATATTCTATATTATCTATCGTAGTTAACCATAAGCGATATTGTTTGGTTTGCTCTTCGGTATACTGATCGTGAGGTTTACCATCGATGAATAAAGAATATTCATATTTGAAACCGGGAGCCGGGTCCACGCGTATAATGCAACGTATTTGATCGATGTAAAAGGTATCCTCACCGACTAATTTAAACATCCAATCACGACGTATAACTTCCTGTGAGTAAAACCGATAATAATTCTTTCGATTCGATTGTTATCAAAGGGAACCTACCTTACCGTTGACCCAGACCATACGCTTACCGCTGGTGGTGCCATGTTCCAACTCTATGCGAAACATTTTACCATTAATTGGAGCGCACCATTTGGCCACAATGTTATTTTTATTATAGCGTTTCTCCTCGGACAAGTGATCCAAATTCATGGATGGTTGACTCGGCAAATTTTCCAGTTTTAAAGCGGGTGATAAAAATGACATCCTAGAAAATTGCAAGTCGCGTAAGTAACCAAAAAATCATAAATAAAAGAGAAGAAGAAGAATTCGGTTTAGCGCGATCGGATTAGCAAGCATTACGTTTTTTCTAGTGTGTTTCTAAGTGGTTTGATAATGAATCTCACCGAATTATATGATAATGGTGTAAACATAAGATGTTATGTAAGCGTAAGCAATATGTCGAGTATAACTGTGAAGGAGAGGGAAACATAGAGGGATAGCAGAGGTAGTGCATGATTAGTTTTAAGGACAGCAATCGCAATTGCTGGCTTGCCTGGCAATACGAATTTTAAAGGCGTCCGAAAAAATTGGGCGGTGCAATTCCTATAAAACCTACAATGGTTTTTGAATTGTTTATGGTTTATGGCAGGTAGACAGGTATATAGGGGGACAGACAGCTGGACGGACAAGAATATATATTGAAAGTCACGCAGAGGAAAACAAGGTCTTTCACTTTATTGCTTAAGGAATTTTGCAGGACATAAGCCCATTACTCTTGCACACGCTTTGAATTTATTTTTCGACAAATTTAGTAGACTTCTTATGGTGCTTATAAAAAAAAAACCCTTACAGTATTTATATAGTTGCTATTTACTTGATGGCACTTATCATCCAAGGTGAATGAATAAAAATCGCGCAATTTTTTTGACAGTGTATGTGTAAGTGGAATTCAGATTGCATTTGTCTTTAGAGGGCAGTGATGAGCGCATTATGTTCAACGCAGTTAGTAAACGCCACGATGCTATAGATCTTTCATTTTTGACGCAAATATATTGAAACTTTCACTTCCACTCTCTTATTTCATAATATTTTAATTTATTCACGATAGCTAACGTGTTCGCAACCAAATTATGTCTACCTTGGAAAGTGATACAATGACATAATGCAGGTAGCGAGGTGTACGAGGCGAGTCCTAAGCTTATTTTTCAGTTTTAACAAGTTTCGAACGAGGCAAGAAGATAGTTAGCTGCAGACAGACGGACTGACAAAGTCACAAGTTTGGTGATCTTCGTTTATTCCTGATCCTTGGGATAGAACGACAGAGCCTGAAATCGTTCGCTTGTGTTCCCAAAATTGACAATAATTATTTATTTACAAACTATTGCTTATTAATTTGCTAAATACATGACTTGCACAATAGAAATTTAAAAAAAAAATTTAAATAAAAGTTATTATCCATGACGTAAGTATATATATAAATATATATGTATGTATATATATATATGTATATGTAAGGATTGTTTTGAAGCCTTCTTCCCTTCACTTGTGCAAATGCCCAACACATACATGTACGTAAGTAATTAATTTTCTTACCAACCTGTGTTTTTTTTTGATTTATTTATTTAATTATTTTTTAATTTTTTTTTTTTTTAGTAATTTTCCGTTAAACAATTTCGATTCCTTGTAAACTTTTGCAGCTGATATTTTAAATTAATTGGAATTAATTGTCGTTATTGTGTTGCTGGTAGAAAAACTTTGATTTTCTTTAAACATCGTGTACTGATAATTGTCGACTCCTTATAATAACATGCTTTACGGATATAATTTAGACATCGTGTATGCAATACTACCAAGTCTTAGTACAGTACGGTTAGAGCGCTTATAAAACACTAAAAATACTTAAAAAACAACATAGCACCGTAAACGAATTGTTTGCTATAACTCGTACCGTAGTGTAAGATTGTGTTTCAGTCGATGTGCTGTTATTTTGTGCTCGGTGTTGTTGTACATACAACAGTCTCTATCAGTCTACACAGGCCACCCAAAAGTCTTGCATTACACAGACTACGAGTTAGTTTATAGTAACAGTATTGCTGGCGACACACAGTATGAATGTATGAATGTATGAAATTTACCGCACCATTCCATGTAGACCCACATCTTATAACACAAGTTCTACAATAATATGTGCATGAATTGCTATAAGTATATATATATATATATGTATGTATGTCTGTATGTACGTGCGTTTGTGTTTGTATGTAAGTTAACTTGTCCTCATATGGTTTACAAACGCGGGCGCCAAATTTGAAGTATTTCTCTCAAACACACAAAAATACACACAAACACACAAACACATGTACGCAGACAATCAAATAAACACAATTACATAGTTACATAGTTACAATAACATAGCAAAACTAAGTGGCCGGTTGTTCACTAACAAAGAAGCAAAAAGAAAAAAAAAAACTGAAAAAAAAGAAACCAGAAAAATAATAATAAAAAAGTAAAAAAAAAAAGACAGTAGTTAGTCATAACATAATATTTATTAACATTTACATATACACGCACGGACAGGCAGGCAAACATCTGCATACCTATGAATAAAATAAAATCGTATAAATTTTTTTTTTTTTAATAAATAAATTATTCTCCAGAGCTATAAACGCGAACAGCCCAAGCAAATAACGAGGCGGCCGACCGACCCACGTAACTAACGTTAAACTGTCCGGTCGTCATTCAGTTCATTCATTGTATGCGGCGCGTTGGATAATTTCATACATATTTATATGAGCGCATTAAGTCCTTTAACAATTATTCGTAGACATATATATATATATATATATATAATATATGTACGTATATAGACGCACATATACTTACAAATATCTTAGCTGACATGCTTACTAACACTTAGGATGATTTTGCGAGATATGTCGATATGTGGTGTTTATTTATGTTTGTATTAACACGTTGCCAGGAAAAACACGCGTCAATAAAAAAACCACCAGCAGCAACAATAAGAAGAAGGAAAACACCTACGATAATAAATTAGAAGGGAAACAATTTCTCAAAACACATGGTAATGAAAAGGTTAAAGAGGATTATAGCTGATCACCCACTTGGCAAATGGAATTTCGTATGCATTCATTAAACGATTGATTTATTCAAAAGCTTTAAGGATTTTTGGAACTTTTCTAACTATTACGACTATTACTTTTCCAACTACCACCACTACACTTTCAAACATATCTAAATTACTGGCCACTTGCCATTATCCGAATTATTGCAAGTCTCCATATTTTGCGATAAATAGTCGAACATGATATTTGAGATTATTGGGTCATTCTTTTATATAAATATATAATGGCTTTTGGTTTTTTGCTTTTTAAACTTTTATGCGTTAGTTTGTTTTCTTTTTTATGTGTTTTCTTCCAAAACACGGAGAACAAACAGACTGAACAAATACTTTTCCATAATCTGCGTTTCTCTTTCATCTTCCTAATTAGCTTTTATTGCTATTATTGCCCTCTCTATCTTGGCGTCTTCCCGATGCAAAATATTTCGCTATCATTTTGAACTCTTTTATGAAGACATTTTCTACATACTCTTAGAGAAAATGTGGCGACAATGCCTGAACTATCAGTATATCGGGACCTTGTCCACGCTTTTTGACTTCATTATTGCTAAGTGAATTGTCTTCATAAGGGAGCAACTTTCCATTTCTAACAAAGATAATCGTTTTTATATCGGCTGGTAACTTTGCCCTTTGCTCCTTGCTTTTTTGTAGCATCGAACAAAGTGTAGAGCATCTAGATCTTGATATTATCATAACACTGCCGTTCCATTTCTCTTACAACAAAAACATGGTTTCATTGGGCAGCGTCCTTCTCTCTGATGGCTAACTTAAATATGCCTACTGAAGAATATGAATGTGTCGGTCTGTTTCCGAACACATAACTTAGCTGAGTAAGGACTTTCGTCAGCTTAGTTTGTTGATGGACGTCGCCCGTTTCTCTTTTTGCCATTTTCAATGGCTTTCTCTCTTCTTGCGTATCTTCTCCCTCTGTTATGGACAATGTATTTTTCATCACAAATTTGGGTCGGAACTTTGCCCAGAGATATTGCGATTATCTACCAACTTTCTGATATTGCATTTCGACATACGATCTTATCATTCTTTATACTGTGGGGACTTGGAAAATATCTTGCTTGCGTTTGTTGAAATTTTAAGGAGAGATTTTTGTTTTTTTTTTTGGAATGACCACTCAGTCAGGTCAGAAATAAGTGAGGGAAGAGAAAGAAAGAAAGAAAGAAATAGTGAGTGAGCGCGCAATCGGTTTGAGTGTTATGGCTTTACCGGCTGAGTATTCACTATCGAAGTAAATTATATTACACTGAGCGATAAAGCGGATGATCACTTATTGAACTTTTTGCTTAGATCTTTATCATGCATTTTATATTAATATTCTTGAATATGGAGAGCATATTCAAGATAGGACGTAGTTGGTACCATATTTTATCGGATAATATTGCGGCATTACCATATCAAAGCATTGTCCTTAGTCTTTACGGCAAAGTATAATGGACATACGCGCTTAGCATTTTGAGTTTTAAATAAGTGGAGTTACTTACCCATAAGAAAGGACATTCGCGGCAACGGTAACATTATCTGCTTTAATTATAGAACAACTTCTTCCAAAACCTTCGGTCGCTGTCGGTGCGTATTCGCCATTGGCAAAATGAATTCTAAATGGTTGCTGGTGCTTGGGCAGGATGCAAAAGATTACGTAAGCGTAAGCGCAAATCGATCAGCGATCTCAAGCGTGTAGCGAAGACATAAACAGTGCTGAGAATTACAGTGGAAAACTGCTCGAAAAGAACTTTTCACTTGGAAAACGTTGCTTCTTAGCTAAAAAGGTAGCGCAATTTTTACGAGGAATAATGAAGATGTTACGATAACCCGCAAGCAGTCATGGTAGAGATCACTGGCGATAGTTGCTTAAGCTTTTGTTCGGTACGTAATAAGTTTAGCTGTTTGCAATACATTATAAAATCCTTCAACTCAGTGAAACCATCACTGAGCAACGTTGCCGAGAGCAAGTGAAGCACTAGAGCCTATCATTAAAGGAAGATGACAATGTGTCAGGAAAGCTGATAAACGAACGTGAGAAAAATCATAGCAGCAGTGAACTCGACTGAACTATGTTCACCAGATATTCCTTCTTGTGCCGTACAATATGAGTTGATCACGGCATTTGTACGCTGTGAGGACAATGCAGAAAGAAAAAGCAGTTATTGACGATACGTAGACAATTCTCTGCGTGACATATATTATAAATCTCAATGAAAGACTTTCGGTTTATATCTTCTTAAAGCAAATTTTCAATTTCTCAATAAATTTTATAACTGTTCTCAATTTCGACCATAATTTATAAAAATTGTTGTCAAATTAAAGGCTTACCAAAAACCTATAAAGGCGTTATGTGCATCTGCCTGCTGTAAACGAGAACGAAAAATTGCCAATAAACTCACATTACACTTATACACACTTACACGTTGACAAGCATTCTTAGCAACTAACTGACTTGCAGTAACGGCTGAGAATGTAATACTTTTTTTTTTCTCTTTGTAACGTACGCCATCAAAGTTGTTTATGTTCTTTGTCCTTTCAAGAAGATTTATGGGATTTTCGAACCGATTCTGACCCGTTGTGCTTAAATATTGTAAAACCCTGGCCCGACAATGCTTAATTGAAAGTAACCTCATTCAGATTTGAGCATGACCGATTCACGGAAACGCCCATAATAACGCCTATAAAAACTGAAAATGAGTAATTTGTGAATGATCGCCTACGTCGATCCAAGACTCAAACTCGATTGGCCAACTGAGAAATGCACCCAAAGTAAACACCAATCCTGCCTATCCATCTATTTTCGCTTATTTGACGGGTAGAGGTGTTCAAGTTTCGCCTCAAGACTCGAACAAAGTTTTTTTTTTATTTTTTTTTGCTTTCATTTTTGGCTTCTATTTGTCTGCCTTAATAGTGATAATATTTCAATATTTATGCAATTTGTGAGGTTTACGGTGCGTATGAGCGATTTATTGAGTGAATTGAATTATCAGTGCACGCGAAGGTCGTTATACATGCCTGTCTGGTTTATTGTCTTGTTAAACCGAGTCATGCAATGAATGTCATGTCGGTTTGTTTTTTCCTTCTTCTGCTGTCCTTTGACGAAAATTGCATTGTAAAGAGACAGAAACCATTCAATTTAAAATTTTTACAACTGGTTTAACTTATAAATCGATTACATCATTATTATTATTATTATTAATGAATTATTATTTTTTTTTTTTGGCAAATTGTTAACCAACTGCTACACGTACCGTTGAAGTGTTCGTATACGTAAAGCGTAAATAGAAGACAAAGGGAAATATTATTTTTGGATTTTTGCCATTCAAAGGATTTGCGTCTTTTCTTTTTCCCCATTTGGTTTTTTCATTTTTTTTGTGCCTCAGATTGTAAACCAAGTAATATATTGAACTTGATTTCTTGTTTTTGTTTTTGTATAAAAATACATTTTCTAAATAAACAGTAAATGCATGCATTTATGTGTTTGTATGTATAGTATGTGTATAAAATTTCCTTGGCATTGTTGTTGACTGCTAGTATTTTGCCCTAATAATCGAGCTAAAAGCGGAAGTCAGTTTTATTATAGTGAATGCTAAAAAGGCAAATAGCTAACCAACAAACATAGCAGGATATGCACAAAAATTCCTCTTTGTTTGTATGTATGTGTTAAAAAAGTAAATAGCGTGACCTGATATATGCACGTGTGTAAATGTTTATAAGTTAATATCTCTTTATATACACATGCATA